TTTTAAATTATTATAATATTGTTGTTCGGTATATACGATGAGTTAATGGAATAATTTTTGTTTTTCCACACTGTAGGTACCTTCGTATAGTATAATTATTTATTAGTCGACGTATTTACTTTTTATCATATCCGGCCATTGTGAATACGAAATTATTCCGAAGAATACAAAAAAAAAATATTTTCTGAGTATTCGATGCGAGTGAAAAGATCCGTGTGTTTGTAGTAATCTATCAGTTGTTTGAAAATAATAATAATAATAATAAAAACACACGTGAGCAACAGAACTCCGTCATTTCAGTGAAATTTCCGTACAGCCATCTTGTTACCGTTACTAGATTTAAGTAATACATGCAATTTGAGAATAAAACAGATGGGCACATGAGTTGTGAGTTAAAAGCTCAAAACGCTCAAAAGACACTTCCTTTCCACAAAAGCAATATAAATTCAAATTTAAATTCTCCTATTTTCATTAGTAGGTCGGTGAGGGGTGAGGGTGAGTAAAGCTAAAAAATACACCCTACTCTTACGAAAATATTCCTAAATTTGTATTGAAAATTTACTCGACTTTTATCGCTTTAATCTGCTTGTGAATTCGACTTTAATTCTCGAATTTGAGTTCATTTTTGGTCCGGCGTGAACCACTACAAAAATGTTTACAAGTAGCGGGGAATAAATACACATACTAGTACATACATGGTGTCCTCAAAATTAACTCATTATTATATCTCTAAAGATAACAAAGGGGGCGTCCGGGAATCGGCCCACGACGAGCCTTTTTTTAAAAAGTTATACGGTAATTGGGCCACTAAAATGTTACATTTATAGCAGGTAGACCCGGTGATTGGGCTACTATTTTGAACGATTTTTTTTAATATTGAACACGGTAATTTGGCCACTATATTTTAATATTTTTTAGATATGACAAAAGGAAAACCACTATTTAAAACTATTTTCAACCGTATTATTATTTTTTTCACGATTTCAAATTTAAATTTACGTTCGTTATAACCGATTTATGTTGACGGCACTTTTGAATACTGTACAAAGCAATCTGTATCATAATATTTAGAAAATAATAATAATAATAATAATAATTATTATTTGACTAATTTTACATTGTATTTTATATTAGCTATATATTTTAATATATATTTTAAATTATACATATTTGCGGTGTACTTTTGTGGCCAATCTCCGGATACCCATTAGAAATATACCTTTTATTTGTGGCCCAATATTCGGGTAGTAAAACGTACAAAAATATTATTTACGAAGCAGGTAGATAAAATGTGACCCAATTCCCCACCGTCCAACAAAGGTAATCAAATTCTGTTTTTTTTTCTTTTTTACTCACGGGGTTAAAAACTAAACATATTTATATTTCAATGAATTTTTTTATGTTTTGGTGAAAAAACTAAAAAAGTAACTTTTTATTTTATTATTTTCAAAAAATTTTAGAGACAGCCATTGTACAGGGTTTAATCTTCTGAAAATGTTAACGTTTCAATTTTTTATATTTTGTTAAATTTGTGAATTTTAATTTTTATTTAATGTTCAGAGAAAGTACATATAATTATGCAGTAGACTCGCATTCTCTAATTACTTATTATTATTATGAGTAATTGACTGAACAATTTTCTTTTTTTAAACTTTAAAAAATTATTAAAAATCACGTATTTAATGAACATAAAAAGTTATAACGTCAACATTTTCATAAGAATAGACACTATAAAATGGTTATCTCAACATTTTAAAAAAATAATAAAAGAAAAAGTTTATTTTTAAGTTTTTTTATAGAAACATAAAACATTCAATGAAATATAAATATAAATACTTGTGGTCCTTATCTCTGTGAGTAATGTATAAAAAAAATAAAAAAAAACAGAATTTGACTATCCTATCTTTATTGTCCCCGGAGATATTAAAATCGATATATCTTCGTGGGACGCTTTGTACAAAAGTCACAAAACGCGAATATATGAATGTGTCTCATCGAATTTACATCTAGAATAAAAACAATATTTAGTGCAACCAGCAATTGTTTTAATTTTGTATGCAATTTGTTTGTCAAAAATCAGGTTTCAATGTACTTGTATTTTTGTATATTTTTAAGAAGTCTGTTAAATGTATGTATCAAATTACCTAGATACTTAGGTAATCTGATGAACGAAAAGTTGCTGGTGATTGATAGTGAAGCAAAATTTAGATCAATTTTTAATTTAATGCACTATAAAAAATGTTTAATGTAATTTGTACGTAGTTTTAAAACGATAATGTAATAAATTTTAGTCACTTTTTTATGCTACATAAATTTCGAGCCTTAATGATGACAGTCGAATTTATTAGTTCGCGTTTTATGAACGAATAAAAAATAAAATGAAGAACGGAACACATTATTTTATTTCACAAAACTGTATTGAAAAGTTTTAAATACTAATCTATACCATTTTATTAAAATAATAGTATTGTTCTTACAGCTTGGAATTGTTTCTCAATATAAAATCGTGTTACGAAATAGTATATTAGGACGTCTAAAAATAGTCATACCACTTTGTTGGTACTATATAATACAGAGATTCAACTACGATGTCTCGTTCAAACAAATATTAGTTGCATCAGCGGTAAAGAGGATTTTGTTGTTTATATCAAAATGGAAATAAATATTTACTTCCGTAGCTCATCTATATATAGTTTATTGCAGAAAATGTCTTTTTCAGATACTTGTATTTTTTTTTTTGAACTTGGCAAACTCTTAAAGTACAGCCCTAAGAGCATGCCGTGTTTTCATAGACAATGCGAACAGTTTAAAATCATATTTATTATTTTTTTTTTTTTTTTAGTGTACAGGCGATCGATTCTCGGTAAGACACTCGTTATAGCGATCATGTCCACACTAATATCCCATTGCGTTTTCTATCGTGCGGGAACCGGCGACCAGAATAAAATTGATCAAAATCACTGTACGTTTTAATAATATATGGTCCATATTTAAATCATTGACACGCGTATCGGATGAACAATATTATTAATTTGTAAAATATTTTCGCCGGCCTGTTGCACAAAGGTCCTATAAAAAAAATTCGATAGTCTGAAATAAGGATCGATAAATAACTTTATTGCTGTCATAAGGCCAAACAAAATTTACCGCGGCGATGATGATGATGATACTGATGCCGATGTAGATTAATGTCCCATAATGGTATGATAATATAATATTAAAAGGTTTATAGTATCGAAGTAATTCGTAACAACTGTAGCGATTGTCAACGCGTTGTTAACACAAACCAGAATGTTCACGTTAAAAACGATAATTTTGAAGAACTGGAAAGTGTTGCCGTGTCTTAGAATGCAATTTCGGAACAGATATTTTTCTATTATTTATCTAAAATCGAAATCGAGCATTTCACTTATCGATCTGATAAAAAGTTATTAACGGCGTTATCATTGAATGAGGTCGAATCGATAAATGTAACGTTTCTGAAACGGTCAATAATTTTTATCGAACCAGTGTCCATGTAAATCGATTCGATAACCGGTAATCGGTTGTTTATGCGATTCGGCATCAGTATGCGGATTCGGTATTCTTTGATTTCACGGCTTTATGATTTTCGTGTGCGATAATATCAGGTACATTTTATAGGGTTGCGGTGATTAGTTGGTCTTAATTGTATACCGGGGACAATGCGAGTTTAATCAATTCGATAAATTATGCAAAACGTTTTGAATAAATATACAATTTTGATTTAAATTAATAGTCTAGTTAAAACCAATTTATATACAGTATACCTACCTGCTATTATTATTATTACTATAGTCGGTACTCGTAATCATTTCTGCGTTAGACATCGCTCGCTTCAATAACCTGAACTTTGATGGCATTATGGATGTAAAATAGTATGTAATTAGACGGGACTATCGCCTACCTCGGAATATAACTATAATATTATCACTTACTGACCCGTTTGTTTTGTCGTATAATTAAAAAAAAAGCAGCTCGCGAGCCACATAGCTCCGTCACTAGAGTCGGATTTGTTTCAGTATATCTTGCAGTAAAGAAAGGGGCATGTGTGCCGGGCACCTTTTAAAAAATCCAACATTGGCTCTTAGATGGTCTCCTACGCACGTAAAAAGTGTAACAAATTTACCTCGAAAAATCAAAATTAAAGCTTAATATCAACCCAATTATAGAATTAAAATTATGTCTACGCCTACCTTGCAGTTAGAGGAAACATTAAAAAAAATTAAGATTCCGAGTGTAGCGAAAAATATATTGGTTTTACAAAGATACTTATGTTTTTATTTATTTATTTATTTTTTTTGATTTGAACATCTTTTCTACGGGAAAACATACTCCGATATGTACACGATGTAAACCCTTTTCTGAAAGCAAATTTATTTTCTTGGAGTGGTACTTTAGGGAGGTAATTTTTCGATTTTCCCAAAAGTTTTCCCAAAAAATGTGAAAAACCGGGAACTAACATGGAAAAACTGAGATAAACGTAGGAAAGACGGGAAAATCGGTACAATATTAAATAAATATTATTAAAGAAAATACATAATGCCTATTTAATTATCACCAAAATTATACCACAACATATAAATTGTTGACAGAGCATCATTATCAACTGATCTCCGCTCAGAATCGTTTTTTCGTAAGCAATGGTTTATTCTTGCTTAAAGATATACATTAAATTACCTTCTATATCCTACTTTCTCAACTTTTCACAGACAACAGTAACTGCCCCCATCGTGCGAAGTACGATATGTCCGTTTTTTTAATGTTGATACACCATGATAATTATAGATTATTATTACTCTATCAGTTACAGTTTTTGATGCAAAGAGTACACAGATTGAAAATACGTTGTTTGGTTCAGTATATTATAAATCGGAATTGTGTCAGACTGCCAATATCAATAAAAATAAACACAACTTAGAATTCGAATCTTCAATTATTTTCCGTGGTACCTATATTTATGTAAAATTTTAAGAAATTAGAGGCCATAAATAAATAATCTTCTTTGTAAAAAAATCCTAGTTAAGTCTGTATAAACACCACATTCCTTGTTAACAAACAAAAAACCAAATACAATTACATCACAAAGCTATACTTGTATGTTATACTTATTCCAAAAAAAAAAAAAAATGGGATTTTAGCATAATAATAGTGGTAACGAGGCATGCAAATTGAATCCCCCTAAAAGGCACATACTATTGACATCAACGCAATACATATGTTTACACCTATAGGTACATTCCGTTTATTCTTCTCGCTTCATTTTGGAGGTATGTTAAGGAGGAGCGTTTAAAGCAAAACAATACCTCTTCCCGATTAGTCATCATGTTTGGGCATTGGTTTGCCAATATTTATTTGTTTATTAGTTAGTAACCTTGGACCAAAATACCACGGAATATTTATTTTTAAATTCGCGCAAATATACTAAGAGTTTTTACTAAAAAGGTTTTGAAGATAGAGAAAACATTTGAAAAATTTCGTTATTGGACCATTTTTGTACAGAGTATGGTGTAACGGTTGGTAGAATATTCGGAAATATTCTGTATACACATAGGAAACAAAACAGTAATTTTTTTCGGCGAAAATTCGATAAAAACGAATAGATATTGAATTCCAAGACTCAAAACTCAAAACTAAAAAAAAAAAAAAAAAAAAAAAAAAAAAAACAAAATACATTAAAACAATTTTAATATTTTACGTTTTAACGGTTTCTGCGATATTTTTATTTTTACGACGTATAGTTTTACCATAACGACGTTTGAACGTAACCAAAACGCAAATACACGAAAGAATTATTGATTCTATACGATTATATTATTATAATTTAACGCTACAATTAAAAAAAATAGACGTATACGATGAATTATTTCACATTTTCTAAAAAAAAAAAATAAAATAAAAAAAACCTAATGTACCTAAATGCACAATATCGATCATAAATTTAAATTTCACGAATAATATAATATCTACGAAAGTATGAAAGTATAAATAAACCTAATTAAAAACATTATTCAATATTTTCGAGCATATGTAACGCGAAGATACCATGCAATTCGACACTTTCATAAATCACATGGTAAATTACAGTCAAAAACAATTTTAAAAAGAATACGTATGCAGGATGATTAACTAAGCGTATCTACATTTTTTTTTTTTTTTTGGTTAAATTTTGCAAAAATTCAAATTTTGATTTTTTGAATCTTTAAGTGTAGTTAAAGCCGATATTTTCGAATAATCAGATTTTTCACAATATTCAAGGAGTATCCTGTGGCGATAATAACTTTGGTTTTTCAAATTAGAACCTATATTACATACTCCATAAATAGTCTGAGTATTAAATTTATATAAATATCGGTGTCAACATTTTTGTTTTCCGTCAAACCCGTTAACAAGATAACTTTTAATACCACTTTTAATTTTAGTTAGGGGGAAAGAAGTGGGGTTACGTTTGCGTGGTGGTACGGCACACGGCGTTTTATAAGTGCTTCGCTACTCTCTCCTTATCTAAACTTAAAAGTAAAATATCTCGTCGTCAACGGATTGGTGGAAATCGAAAATGTTAACAACAAAATTTAATTTAAGTAATATTCTGTCTATTTATTGAGTTTTTAATGTGGGTTCCCATTTGAATAACCCAAGTCGGTATCGTCACAGGATACTCCTTAAATGTTATGAAAAATCTAAGTATTCGAAAATGTCGGTTTAAACTGCACTTAAATAGTCCAAAAATTAAAATTTTAATATTTGCAAAATTTAACCAAAAAAATAAGACGGAATCGTTCTGTATATATGGCTTTTAAATTTTTCACCGATTTTTGCGCCATAACAGTATAAAGAGTTTTGGATTCCTAAAACATGCACAGGCACTTAAAGTATTCCTACAATGTGATTTTTTTTTAAAAATTAGTATAAGCATAAAATACACATACGTATTTATACCCGTAGTTGGAGTTGGGCAGTATCACAGACTCGTGTATCAAATATACAATTATTGTATTTTTATCCTTTTTAGTTTGTGTATATTATGTCAATAAACGTTTTATTACGGTATCAAGTATCGTTTTGTGCTAGAGATGCAAGAACCTTAAACATTTTTTGGTATAATTAAAAAATAATAATAATAATAATAATAAAAAAAAAAACAAAAAGGTAGCTCAGGTTAACTGTTTCATATGGTTAACTTGAAATACAATTTAATGACCACTTAAATACCTGTAGGTGTTATTTGAACGTATTGATGATGGTTAATATAAATTAATACAAAACGTTTACGATATTTATTGATTATATTACTACATTTTTTTTTGTAATTTTAATTTTAAAAATCACAGTTAATTAAAATAAATCTTATAAATCACACAACACAATTTTCACCGATATGATGTTGAATTAAAAAATTAAAAAATGTAATTAGGTATCTTTGATATCTACTTGTATTACGTATCATGTAACTTTCCTAGCTTTGTAATGTACCTTGTATCTTGTATCAAGACATATAAAATAAATGTATCTTATTTCGCCATATATCAAGATACTTTTTTATGTTTTGTATCTTGCTCAACCCTGCTTATAACCCTCGGGTGTTGTGCCGAATTCCGTGTCAATCGAACGACCGAACGTTTCAACTAAAGCGATTCGCAGTTTTTATTATTAAGAAAATACGCTCTTCAGAAATACCATTAATTAGGCCTAAAAAATAATAATAATAAAACACAAGGATTATCGTTTTAAAAAAACACCGTAAACGAATAAAATCTTAGTCGGAATAAATAACGTGGCCGTATATTTTAATACTGCTATTATATACGTATAAAGTCGTAAATATATCTTTACAGACACGGCGTTTTTCTTTAGTTATTCCATTTAAATTACTACAAAAGTGTAAGACAGACCGGGGGATTCGGTGTCTTATTTATATAGTTCCCGTTACCCTCCCCGAGCTTTTTCTTAACATTTGAAAACTTGGTCCCTATCGGCCTTGAATCATTATTTTGTCGACGGCTTATCTTTTACTATATAACGTTTTTTTATTTTATTTTTTTGCATCTTACTTATTATTATATAGTGTGTAGCATACCTACCTACTTTCCGAATCTTTACCCTGAACTGCAGTGTTCATATTATCTATTTGCGGGATTGTTGATTTAAATAGGTACCTAATCGAACCTAGAAGGCTTTTATGTAAAGAAAGTGGTCAACCGCATAATGCTCCGATTGGTTGACCGGGTTGCATATAAGCAAAGCGTACACTGTTAGAGAACCTTATGGAAATTCTGTTCTCCGAATAACTCTAGTCCAAAGAAGATAAACATAAAATCATCAGTTATGATTTTAGATTCTGAGTGGAGCAAAAAAGCTTATGGTTTTACAAAGATTTTTTTTTTTTTTATATATTTTAACAACTTTTCAATTACTTCTAATAACTTAGAATACTTCATCAGATTTCTACGTGTAGCGTCTTTTCTGAAAGAAAATCGGTGTGGAGAGGTACTTTTAGGAAGTCATTTTTGGATTTTTTCAAGAGTTTTCTCATTAAATTTGAAAAACCGAAAAAAACGGGAAAATGTAAGAAATGTAGGTATTAGTTAAAATATTTTACGGCCTTTTATTTTCCTATTCACAACTTTTCTACCGGAAATTTTGTCCAACTTATGATAGCAATTTTTCTAAAAGGAAATTTCACTGGGGAGGTGCTTTAGAGAGATAATTTTTCGATTTTTTCTCGATTTTTCCCAGCAAATGTGTAAAACCGGGATAAAACATGGGAAAACCGGAAAAAACGTAGGAAAGTTGGGAAAATTGGTACAGCATAAAACAAATAATATCAAGGAAAATATATAAAGCCTATTTAATTGTTTTACTATATTTTTTACAAAGCATCACTATCAACTGAACTTCGCTCAGAATCGTTTTTTCGTAAGCAATGGTTTATCGTTGCTTACAGGTGTACATTAAAATCATCTATAACAGTGGCTGCATCCGTCCCCATTATCCTTGGACGTTTTTTTGAAATGTTTCAGTTTGTAAAAACTAAAACGTGTTTAGTTTCATTAAAATACTGTTCATATGACTATTATTAAAATACCATTCATAATAGATCAAATATAACATGAATGGAAGAAATAATTTTTTTAGGTGGATAGGTTAGGTACATATTAAATTATTATTTCAGGATTCAATACTGTTTCATAGTTAAATACATTATTTCATATCCTAAAAAAAAATTTAAACATGTAGAATACTCAATAGATGAAAATGAATAAATACTAAATTTTGAGATATTTACACATTTCAATCACACATATATTTGCCCTCACAATCAAGATTGTATGCATAAGCCACAATAAAGTGTATCCCATTGTATTTGACGGATTTTTCTAGCGCTGTAAATATCAAATTTTTTTTAATTTTTTTTTTTTTTTTTTAATCGGTTTTTCTTCGAGAGGGGAGCATTGATTTGGAAAGTAATATTTTTTCATCCCCTAAACACACACAAAAAAAATAACTTTATTTATTCACTTTAGAAAATGTTCGAAATAGCCATTTTGTAAAAAATATTATTTTAAACAAAAATGTTTACTATAATATTTAAAAAATGTATCATACATTTATATCCGATGAATAATTTGTTAGTTATAGCCGTTTTAATGTCTAGAAAATAGGCGTGAAAACAATTGATATTCAATCAAATAACACATTATGCGATAAGAAATCATAATCAGCACGGTAATTCTTTATCTTCTATTGAATATTATTTGTTTTCATGCCTATTTTCTAGAAATACGGCTAATATTAAGAAACTATAAATCGGATATGAATGTGTGAGATCCATTAAAATTTTTAGAACAATATTTTTTTACAAAATGTCTATTTTGAAAATTTTCTAAAGTGAACAAATAAAACTATTATTACTTTTTTTTTTTATGTTGGAAGATGAAAATAAAAATGTAATTTTTATCCAAATCGATGTTTCTCCCGAAGACAAACTTATTGAAAATAAAAAAAAAAAAAATTTAATATAAACAACGCTAGAAAAATCCGTCGAACACGGTGGGCACGCTGGGACACGCTGTACGCGTAGCGTGAAAAATTTGTAATATGCGATCCGTGCGAAAGTTCACAATTTCAAACGTGTTTTGAGCGTTTGCGGTATTTTCGATTACCATGGTAGTTTGTAGTATATTTAAATTTATCGCGTAGACAATTTTCGGTTTTTAAATTTATTTAATATGTTGTACCGATACATTGGACTGTATTTTTATTTTTTTAGTTTTTGCTACGTGGCCTTTATGCGACCAGCTCTCCCAGTTGTGCGCAAACACACCGAGCATAGGTACAAAACGCACATTAATATTGTACGGAGCCAATATAATATTCAAAATTCGTAGCCGTCATTAATCAGAACGGGTACATAAATATTTTACGAATGGACTATATTTTGTACATTCGAATTTCACCTGTTATTCCACCGTGTATTGGTGTATATCGCTAATAAATTATTAAGTTTTATATTTTGATAGGTGGGTGGGTAGTTACCTAACGAAAACAACAACGGTGAATAATTGATTGTTAGAATATCTAATCGTATGTTTGATGACGGTTTGTTAGAGACTCTAACCGATGCAATCTTAGTAAAACACGTCAGTGTTATGGATTTTATTATTTGTAATCATTTTTTCATTGTTTTTCAATTTACTTCGAATCGGCGAGAAGAAAATTAAACGTAGTTTAA